GATTCCGACTCGAGGAAGTCGACGACGAGATATATGATGACATTTGCAGGAGGAGCTATCTCCTAACAATCAAGACTACAGAAGTGTGTAACACTTTCGACAACCGAGGCCGAGTACATAACTACGACTAAGGCAAACAAAGAAATGATGTGGATGAAGAAGTTTCTCTCCGAACTCGGCCATGATCAAGACAAGTACGAGCTGGGATGTGACAATCAAAGCGCAATTCATCTTGCAAAGAATTTGACCTATCACTCACGCACTAAGCACATTGATATGAGGTATCATTGGATCCGGGATGTGGTGGAAGATGGAGAGCTCGAACTCGTCAAAGTGCACACCGACCTAAATTGGTCTGACATGATGACGAAGCCGGTACCAGCAAGGAAATTCAAAGATTGCTATGAAGATGTCGGGTTACTGACGATGCTGACGCATTGAAGTTGGAAGGGGGAGATTTGTTGGGCTTCCTCCTTAATGCCAAAGCACGAAGCCCATTGAGGAGTTTGAAAAACCCTAAACCTTCTTTCTCCCCTATAAATACATTAGTTGTGGGACGGAGGTAGGTAAGAGAAAAAGGTTGGCTTGTGAGATTTTGAGGGTTTTGAGAGAAAAGCTCAAAGTTTTGATTTTGAGAGCACCTCTAGGGAGAAGCTTGGGAGTTACACCTCTTTAGAAAAGTTTGAGAGAAAACCACCATTGTAAGTGAGGTTTGAGTGTACCACCATTGATGGTGGAGTTTGATCTTTTGTAATCCTTATTTTCACAGTGAAAATTTGATTCTGAAATAGTGTCCATTTGGTTTTTACTTCTTCACACTGAAGAAGATTTTCCCACATTAAAATATGTTGTGTTCTTCTCTCTCTCTCTCCTCTATGTTTTTCGTTTTTCCGCTGCACTGGTCGACCTGTTGATACAGACCGACTTCTGATTAAAGAGCCGAGCTCAACTCGATGTTTGACTTCTGCAAAGGCTTCTTAGCCGAGTTTGAGGGAACCGATTTCCCAACATCATGATGCCTCTGCACTTCTCAGATCTACGTTCATAAAACCTTCTTCAATTTGCACCGCATAAATCTAATTTGCTCATTCGTAGCATTGCGCTTCTCATCTGTGTATTTGTGTTGATGATTTTGGTGTTTGATAAACCTTTAGTTTATCATGTTTTTGGGACTAATATTACATGATTTATATAGTTAAATGTAGTGAAAACATGAAAGTTGGATCTTGATCTAACATAATTCGTTCTTGCGTGTTTTGAACATGAATTGACATAAATTTGTGCAAGAATGAAGTAAAGGACCTAGAGCAGAAGATTGAAGATGAAAAGAGTCCACAAAGTGCGCTCCAGAAGCATTATTGAAGACTGGATGAGCGCGCTTTAGCGCCCTACAGAGTGCTAAAGCACGATAATGAAGCAAAAATAGCCAAATGCCCTGGAGAAATTTCCTTTCGCAGAGCGCGCTTTGCAGAGAATCAAAGCGTCATTAGCGCGCTAACATGGTCCAAAATTAGGCCCATATTGTTGAATCCACTTAGGGCACAAGCTTTATAACTGTAAAAGGAGATTTTCAACACCAATTCAGTAGCTTTTGACAATTCTGATTGAGGAATCCTAATTTGGTGATAGGAGCGCGCCTTTCATGCTTTAGAGCATTGGGATCGGATTGAATTCAAGAACACGTTGGGAGTTTTGATGATTCACCAAGCAATCACACCAACGGAGTTTGGGGGATTTTCATTACTTTCTCTTGTCTTTGATTTTGCTATGCTAGACTAGATTTTTATGTAGTTAGGAATAGATAGAACCCAATTGAATTCTTATTTTATTGAATTAAATTGTCTATATATTTTCCCTTTTTAAAATTGCATGAATTTGTCTATTTAATGTTTTCTATGAGTTTGCTCCTCGTAGATTAATTTAGGGGAATTGTATGACGATAGGAATATTGGTGCATGAACCTAGTTTGATAAATTCATCATAATCCTTGTGATCTAGGAATAGACATAGGGCAATTATGCAATCTTTAGATTCTTGAATTTAATGCATGTTTTATTAAGGAATAACCGAGGAACTAGGATTCTTTCAAGATTACATAGAATTAGGATAACAAGGGATGGAGCCTTAATTAATTTAGAGGAATCGATTGGCATTATATTAAGGGTGGTTACTTAACTGTTTAATTCATAGCATAAGAAGGAAATTGGGGAAAATCGAAACTCTAACTATGCTTTTCTTGATTGTCAAAACAAATTTCTTTTAATTGCTTGCTTTTAATTTTGAATTCTTATGCTTTTGATCACTTTTAGTTTTAAATTCAAAGTTTCTCATAATTGTTTGTCCAAATAAAGTGTGAATAGTGAACTAGTGCTTGAACTCTAATCTTCGTGGGAACGATCTCGTACTCAAATACACTTATTACTTTTACGACCGGTGTACTTGTCGAAGTAGCAACAATGTTAAATATTGATTACGTGGTGCAAAGATTTGGTGTGTATAATTTGAGATATATTTGCTATTTACGAACACTGTTATGATTATGGTTAGTCTATACAATGAACCTAGAAACTAATGCGTGATGGGTATGAGAACGAGGGAACTGAACTATGAAAGAAGATCAAGATAAAGGATATTTATTGTTTCTAAAGAAGTAAGAAAGAAATGGCTTGAGATAAAGGCTATGCCACCATTCAAAGCCTAAGAAGAGTCCACCAAATTGAGATTAAAGGCTAGGCAACCCTCCCAATTGATAAAGAACCCACTTGCCTCACCACTAACCAAAAGTTAGATAAAAATAACAAGATTTAAAAACAAGTATTTGAGAAAAATTGCAACACTAAATTTTCATTCATCAAACCATGGTTTGTGAATTACAAGTATTCCCTATTTATAAATGAAACTAAAAGCAAGAAAATATAAAGAGAAATTAACTATTCTCCAACTTCCTAGACTGATTTTCCTTGAAACTAGTTTCACAACAACTCCCACGAGCTGTGTTGCTTTGAAAATTCAACAATTATATGTCCAAGCCTTGAATTTGTCATAAAACAACTTGGGAAACCAATTGAAATTAGGCCTTGAATTTGTATCACTTGGGCTTAACATTTGATCTCCTCTAATCAAACTTAACATATTTGCTCCTGCATCAGAAACCATTTACATGGTTTCCAATAATCCCTCTCAAGCTAGAGCAAATAAGTCATATACACCAAACTTGTAACATATATAACTTATCCGAGGACTCTTCAAAGACACAGTGAGACATCCATCAGCTGCTCATTTGAATTAACAAAGTCGGTGGCAGTATGTCCTGATAAGATCTTCCTTGTTGATAAAACAACAACCTATCTAAAAGTGTTTGGTCCTCCTCACTAAATATTGAATTAGAGGCAATATACATAATAGCTAGATTATCACACACGAATGTTTCTAGAGCAAATTCTCCAAATTTGAGATCTTTAAATAGTTATTTGAGTCAAATGAGTTAATAAGTAGTTGACACCACAACCCAACATTCTACATCAGGATCTGATCTTGCAAGTTGCAACTAATATTGTATTTCTTATTTCTCCAATAAATCAAATTATCCTCAATGAGTAGCCAATACCTAAAAGTGGATCTCTTACTAATAGAGCAACTTGTCCAATTAGCAGCTAAGTGTCCAACAATTCAAGCATGAGGCATGAGCTTTATCTTCATAAATAAGATCTTTTCGTGGAGCTCCTTTAATGTATTTGAGGTTATAAATTACCGCTTCCATATGTGGAGGAAGGGGACCCTAAGAAAAGAATAAACTCAATGAAGGCAACATAAACCGAGACCAGATATTAACAAAGTTTGGTTCAGATAAGTTCATATGGTTTTTTTGCAGACCCCTATCATTAGGTCTCCTTATCTAATTAGGGTTAGCATTGTATTATATTAATTAGGTTAGGCTTGTACTAGGGATACTATACAAGTAGTTGACCCAATTAATAGTATACATACGACCATTAGATTAGTATTTTTGTATGGCATCATTACACACCATGTCAATATCCTAATACTTTATTCTGAGGAATCCGAGCCTCTATTCTCTCTTTTCCTTCTTCCTTACCTAAATCCTATAATTTCAACAAAAATTAAACAAGGATTGGGACAACTTCTGTCAAAAAACTAAACATTAAAATCAAAGAACTTAACAAAAATACTTATGTCAAATAGATAAAAATACCGAGGCAAATAACTAAGAATAAAATCAAACAAGGAGTGGGACCTAATAAGTGCTATGAACAGGGATGAACAGAGGAGGGAAATGCTGTGAAGGTTCTGTTGAAGGTTAAAGGTTTAACCCTAAATTAGTACCGAAGAAAAAAGGGAAGTGAAATAAAATTACAATAAAAAATGGCTAATTAAAGAAAGAATGAGGTGAGCGGACTCGGGCTTTTATCCATGCTACACAAAACGCTCCTCAACAACACAACTGTGGCATATAGAGGCTGCAATGCACCCTGACTCTGCAATAACAATGCTATAACCGCTATTGACCACTCTAACAGCCGCAATGCAAAAACACTGTGTCACACTCATCAAGAATGGCCATTGTCTGCACCCCTCTCCAATGCCATGATTGTAGTGCTGTTCAAATTAATGACTACTCTGATTCTAACACAGATCTTAACGTTGACAAGTTCTGAAAAGAAGTTAGCCCTGGGCTTAGTGCCCAAAAGAATCCCTCAAGTAGGGGGCTATCGTAAAACTAAGAGAATACCTTTAAAAACCCTAACTGCAGTGCCTTCAGACAACCCTACTATGGACTACTTCACCTAATCCAATATTCAATACAAGGATGGAAGCAGAAAAATCATTAACAGAGTCATGTGGAAAAAGAAATAATCAATAAAAAATTAAAGTGTATATATATCATGTTTTGCAAATGTGGCATGTACATGATTTATATCAAAGTGGGATGTATGCCATTTGACAGTGCAGTTATTATGCATATGGAGCTGAGTACATACCGCCCATTTGACATTAAGAAACAGCCCTCGTCTAATTTTCTAACAACCAACTCTGCTGCTTCCTTTCTTTTAAATATAACAAAAGCCTGACCTATATCATAAATAAAATATTACAACACTGTTAGTTGTAAATGAGGTATGTTGAAAAAATATTATCCTTGAAACATATCCAAGCTCATGATCCCAGAAGGGAGGAGAATGTGTATGCATTGTTAATTAGCTTATAGAAAAAAGTTGTTCAAAGACTGTAGTCCTAACCAGAATAAGGGCTAGAGAATGCAGTTTTCTGGATCAGCTTCGCAGTGCAACTTTCTTTAAGACCATGCCAAACAATATCCTGAGATTTAGAACAATATGTCAAGCATACTAGAGAGAGACAGCTTATTGATATTACAACAAAATGGATCAAAACATTAATTGAAACAGCACATTGTAAAAACAACAGCCTATATCAACAAATCATTCTATAAAAATTTACATAACTCAAGCAAAGCTTGATTATGAGACTCCAGTCTTGAAGTGAATCTGTTAGGGACAAGACTCAAGGTGATGTGGGAGGAAGGGGGTAGTATGGAGAGTGTATACTAGAAAGAATAAGAGAAACCATTAGGCTAGACAGGGAGTTAGGAGGATAGTTATTCAGCTAGGATAGTAGTTAGATAGATAAATAGCAGAAACTGTAGAGGGGGAGGATCCTTTAAGGAAATAATATGTAACCCAGCATATTGCTCATTTACAAAAGGGGACACCCCTTCGAGGAGATCTCTCTCCTTGATACCCAATGTTAAAGATACTATATAAAACTTGTACATTGTTTACACTTCAAGCCCAAAAGAACTATTGCGTGAGAGGATGTGTTAAAGATACCCAATAACAGAATATCTTTCTCTTTCTATCTATTTCTTTCTCTAAATTCTCTCATCTCTACATTTTTGGTGCTCCATACTCCTTAAGTTCTTATCAGGTTAGTTCAACCAACTGGGTCAAGATTAGGAGAGATAGAATCATGAGTGGAAGTGTTGAAAAGAAAATTCTAAAGGAGACCCCCAATTATTGGAGAACAAGAAAAGTGTTACGGGATTGAAGGGATATTAATCAACTACTCAGAAGGGGGCTGCAAAATCAAGGGATCATTCTAAAGGATTAAGAGACAAATGCACAACTTCATGGGGGAAGGCGAAGCAACAAGCAACCAAGCAAGTAGAGAGGAACTTAGATGGCCATGAGTTTTGTAAACTGTAAAGAACCATTTCAACCCAAAAACTTGAGTTGTTAAGTGATTGCTACATTAATAGTTTTATATCATACAAGCCCTCTCATATAATAGCCCATTGGGCTTGAAGGTTGCACAATGCAAAAGCCGACATATGTTAAGAAACTCCATAATATTTAATTATTTATTAATAGAATAGGGATAATGAGGATCGAACCACTTTATCACAGAGACTTTGGTAGCATGTAAAGAATCATTTCAACCCAAAAGTTTAAACTATTAGATGAAGGCCACATTAATAGTTTTACATTACATTTCTCTAACAAGTCCAAATGCTCCAACAATGCGCGACATTCTTGGGGAAGGTAAGTTAGCCACATTTGAGGGTTCAATAGCTGGGTAGAAATTTTGGGGCTCAACAAACAAGCTTTCAGAGAAAATGCAATTAGTATTAATCAGCATGGACTGACGATGATCCAATGGGTTGGTTTCGATTTCTGGGACAAACAACAAAACTGGCATGTAAAGGATTCATGACAACCTTGATCCAAAGGTTTTACGAATAGAGCATGGGAAATGTATATGAAAGATTGGCCACGTTGAGACAATCAAACACCGTAGAGGAGTAAAGCCAAGCGGATAGGATTAGAGCATCTGTGTGACAAAGACTTTAGCCAAAGCACGTCTGGGAGACAAAGACTGATAAGGCCAGCCAGACTGCATCTAGGACAAGGACCAGGGCTAGACACATTTGAAATATATTGATGAATGATAAAGTTGTCCTTCTATGGGATAACAGTATTGTATTACCATTCTCCCAATAATCTATAAATTTGGAGTGATCATTACCTGTACATCTGATGAAGTTAAAGATGGATCCAAGTTTTCAAGTAGCACAAGTTTCCCTTGCTCATAAGCAGCTTTCAATCTTTCTTCCCAAGGCTGAAAATGATATAAAATCATTCATATGTAAGTTTAGTTTTGTTTTATTTGATCTCAACAAAAATCATCATCAGACAAAAAAGGCAATGTCAATCATAGACATTTAGTTCATTACATCCTACAAGAAAATTCAATTAATTAAAGATGTTAGAAGAGAATAGAGAGAAAATAGAACTTACAAATGACCGAAACCACTTGCTTCTATCCTGTCACCAAGTGAAAAAAAATAATGCATAAGAACACTAAATTGCTTAAATCGTTGTTAAGACGAGGAAACATGCATCAAGGTCAATTAAATAGTTCAAAAAATATTGCGCTAAACTAAATATGTGTAAAACTAACATTTATAAAATTGACTAATTTCTTTAAGAAAAGTACAAGAGAAATCCCCACAATAAGCCATTGAATGGTATCATACGGAAACAAGATGGAAAAATATAAATTGCAACATAGTAAGAAGAGATATGTAACTCAACAATTCTTCTTTTACTCTCAATCTATACACACCAATCTCCATGAAATCTACCCTCCCTTATCCTTTTTAAAACTCATATCAAATCAATAGAAAAAGAAATTTATTATTTGTCATAAACCAAATCTCCCAAAAGTTTAGACTGTTAGGTAAACATACATGAATAATTTTATATTATATTTCAATATTTATCCATGCATATATGACATATCCAAGGCAACTTAAACACCAAATCGTCTAGAATTTATCCATGGATATAAATGTTGTGTGAAGCATCTCCTTTAGAAGAATGAAAACATGGCAATTGAATAGCAAAATAAATGCAATGGAATAATCAAATAGAATATTCAATAGATTTCCTTTTAGTTCCTTTTCATTCAACAATTTAGGCATATTTGACTTTTCAATTTTTTTAGAATTGATGAAAGAAAAAGAAAAATATATTAAACAAAGCATTGAATCATGCGATTAGTATCCGTGACACGAAATTGCAATGATTCATGCATGCATTGCCTGATTCAATACCATCTCTGATTAACCACATAATATGAATCACTAGTTTGTCAAATCATGTCATTCAAATTGCAAATCGTGCAATTCTAACAATTATACTTGTAAGTATAATATATGATGCCACCCATTTCAAAAACTCCTAAAAGAATTTTGTGCAAGTGGTAAACATTAAGAACTTCAACGATATGGCAATTTCTTATTTATCAATAATGTATATGGCATGAGATTTAACACTAGCAACGAATTGGTTTTTTTTAAAGGGAAGCCCTTATTAAAAACTAAAGGGATAAAGGGAATGAAACTTGTGGGGATCAAACCACCAATTACCAAGCCAGCTCAATTGTTGAAGTGGATCAAATTTAAACTCAAACAAAAAACGATCAAGCCTAGTTAATTTTAGACATACAATAAAAACATTCATGTATCTTTCCCCAACACCTTAAGCCATTTTTTATTTTTTTTGTACATAAAAATTTTAAATGTGGTAAGACACCAGTATCCCACTAGGATCAGGGAAAACCCCTCAACTTCTTTGAGGATTTCCGGGAGGGATTACATATCACCCACCAACAAAGTCCTCATATCGGCCAGCGAGGTCTGAACCCACGCCCTTATGGGGTATGGACCAAACCCTTAGCCAATTGTGCCCACCTTTGTTGACAAAGTTGGTTCGTGATATGGCATCAGAGCTTTCATGACCAAATCGTCTAGAATTCAATTCTTGCCACCCCAATTCTTCAAATAAAAAAGTTATATTTCAGCATAAGGTCACAAGGTAAAATGGGACTATGCATTATCCATACTTCAAAGACCAAAGAAGGTGCTTGCATGCAGGGGGCATGTCAGAGATATTATTAAAACCATTCATTTTCCTTTCACCAACAACTTAAGCTTTTGAGAGAGTTGGTTCACGACATCTAAGGTAAAATACTAGCCCAACAAGATCAATGTTTAAGTCAAGCTTTAAAGGCATGGTTGGGCTAAAGCCCAGCCTTATCGGTTGTTTTGACAGCTCTATCTTGTACATTTTGGTCATGTGTTGAAGCAATAAGGCATACGATGAGTCAAGAGAAAAAGAACTATCAATGCAACTTACAATATCAGGTCTTCGAGTAACTTCCGTCGGAGGCTTGTGTTCCATATCCAGAGAAACCATAGAAGATTCTTTACGCAACTTGTCAATAGAGGGGTTTGTTAGCCTCTTCTCAATCTTTAACTTTTTGGAAGAAACTTCGTCCACGTCACAAGAATCCTTTGCCCGTTGAAGCTTATATTTATCCTTTGATGAAGATGGACCTATATTCTTCACATCATCATCGTCATCGTCATCGTCATCATCATTAAAGGCAACAAGCCTTCGATTTTGAAACCTATTTGAAATTTTAGCCTTGTCCTCCATTTGTCTCTTGTTGATTTGTCCAAGAGGGACACCAACAACCTCACATTCACCCCTTTCTATTTCCCTCATTTCTAAACCAGCTCTAGAACCATGTGATAGTTTACTAGATGATTTCTTCTGAACCAGAGAAGCCTTACTAACCCCATTTTCTTTAACTTTAGCTTGAGGCATGGCCATATCACTAGAAATATTGTGCCAAGCATCATTAGATTTACTTGTTTCTTTTACACCAATGCTAGAAGTAGGCTTTACTCCCAACAATGGCATAGAATCCACATTTTTTCTAACTTTTGTGTCAAAACACTTGCTATCTGGCTTTTCAATTATAGGCTTATTGTTTTTTTGACTCGAAAGAGTCACCACTTCATTACTTTTCATCACGTTCCCACCAACTTCTTTCTTGTCTAAACCAAGTTTCGCAAGTCCAACGGGCTTTTGACTATCTAAATTGTTAAAAATATTTTTAACTGCAACAATTGGAAAAACAACTCCATAAGATATTCAACAATTTAAAGCTAGGCAGAATTCCATTATTCCATACGATTCAAGGTCAATAACATCTCCTAAGAAATTTTTAGTGCACTAACAATGGAAACATTCTCATTCCGGAATAAAGGCAAACAAAATAATTTGAAGGCTAAATTAAAAAAGTATAGGCCCACATAACAAAAAATCTACATGAAACAAGAAAAACAATTAGCATGGATTTCAAAGAAGTTCATTTTTTCAAGTTACCAAAAACCTGAGGATTTCTCTAAATTTCTCTCTAGTTAATTAAATTCTATAATAAAAAATAACCACTTGAGATTCAATGGTAAGAGAGGTAGAGGTTGTCATGTGGCAATCTTTTCTTTTTGGTTTTAAAACAAAAATATGATTTAGTGAATTTCTCAAAGCATGAGATAAGTGTATTGAAATCAAATTCATACAGTAGTGTGTGAGACACCACTAAACACTGCAGGTGTAGATGTAGTTCCTTCTTGAAAGTATAAAGAAATTTAGAGAATAACATTCAAGCAAATAGGATGACAAACCTTCAATTCCAGCAATCTTATCATCTATCTTGTCCAGTATTTTACGCTGCCCAACATCAAAGAAACGATAGAATACAAATTCAGCCTTTTGACATTCTTCGTCTGATGGATGTGGATTCCTGCTGTCTTCAGAAATGCAAACAACATTGCATTTTCCAGCAATAGCTTCCTGATGTGGAATACAAAAATGAACAGAAACATACCCAGTTCAATTAAAGTTAGATGTTGCTAGTCAGCTCCAAACCAAGAAAAATTGCATGGCTATATTTTCACTGTTAAAAGGAAACACTAGTCCCAATCAAATTATAACAATAAAGAGTTATTTAACACACAATATTTTACCCCTAAATACCAAACAAACACAAGCACACCCGAAATAAAGTAATGAAGATTCAGCTTTAACACCTAAAAAAAAAACTATCGTCCTATCGTGAAATTCAATTCTAAATTTCTAACCATAATTCCAAATTTCCAGAATAAACAGGACAATTAAACGCTTTAAAGTTCACACAATGAACTGACACAACGCAATAGTGCAGCCGCATCATATTTAACATAATGAACCAGAACAGTATTATAAGCAATTTTCCAATATCAGAAGAGCAAAGCGTAACCAATTATAAATAATTTTTAAAAGAATAAACTCCAATTACCAGAGGATTGATATTTGTAAGCCCTAAACCTTCTCCACGTGCCAAAAACAACTCATTCTTATGTGTATTAGTTCCTCCCAAGAAGTTTACAATCTCGCAAGGACGAAAATACCACAGAATCTTAACTCTCTTGATCTTATCGGGACCCTCAAATATTTTAATGAGTTTTCCAATATAAGGTTCTGGTTCACCTTCCTTGTAAAGAAACACAGAATCGAACAGGGTGTACTCCTCACCATCATAGGTAAATGATTCGTAAAATTGCACATCCCTCATTCTACAACCAACCCCTTTCTTTTTGCCCCATTTGAATTCAAGATCCTCCTCCCCTTTGTCTGCTTCTACCATATTTTGATATATCAGGCTTCCTTCTCTGAAAAAGTCAAAACCAAAAAAGCAAAGAAGCATCGATGAGAAGAAGAGAATCGCTAAAACTTACCACACCGAGTTCAATTTCAAAATAGAGCATCAATGTCATGTAACGAATAAAGAAAATGGTACCGTATAGTATCACACGACACTTTCGATAGTTTTCTACTCTGCGAGATGCCGAAATGAAACCATGGATGATTTGAAATGCTGTTGGGTCGTCGAAATTTGCATTTGACTGAAGCTCGTTATAGCCGACAATGGTGAGTTGCAAGAAACGGAACCAAATTGCAACTCCCCAAAAACCCTAACACGATGTGTGAAGAAGAACACGCCAATGGCAACTCAACTGCTGGTTTTATAGTAGTTTTGGCTTAATTTTTTTTTTTTAAGTTGTGAAATTTTATTTATTTTATTTTATTTTTAACTCCCATTAATTTGGGTCTAAATTTTGATTCCTGACAATGACATGTTCTTTTTATCGTTAAATTGGAGCCCTCAATTAGTTATATTTTATCACACACGGAAAAAAAAATAACTCATCACAACTATTTTAGCTGGTATTGTAACTTTTAATTTACTTTTATATTTTATTTTCCTCAAAAAATTTATTTCCCTTCTTTATCATCTGTCTCACTTCTTTCAACCTCTTCCTTTTTTTCTCTCCCACTCTCTTCCATTTCTTACAGGTTCGAAAATCATCCTTTTTTTTCTTCCTCAGTCATTTATTCATTTCTTGGCATGATTGTCTCCTATGGTTGTGTGGCATGTGTGGACATTGTAGATACAGAAGTTGTTGGGAACAATGGTCAAAGTGTCATTGTTGAAAAAAAAAAATATTAAAATATCACGTTAACAGTAAATTTTGTCAAAATGTCACGTGCAAAATATGTGTGCAAATAATTCGCTACACGGTGTAACGAAATATGTCGCGTCAGAATGTACAAAACCAAAAATGCCACGTGTCAGACAGGGAGAATTTTGCTACACTGTGTAGCGAAATTCTCCCTGTTTGACACGTGGCATTTTTGGTTCTGACGTGGCATATTTTGCTACACCGTGTAGCAAAATATTTGCACACGTATTTCGCTACACAGTGTAACGAAATATGTCACGTGGTATTTTGACAAAATTTACTGGTGACATGACATTTTGGTATTTTTTTTTTGCCAGACGTCGCAAGTTGTTGCTCACCGAAAAAAAGATACAAAAGTTGTTGACATACTTCAAGGTTCAAACATGCAAGATATTCAAGAAATTTGATTCAGCGTTAATTTATTATTTGTTTTTTCCAAGCACAGTGAAGTTACTGGTTCATGTTTTATAGAATGCTATTGCCTTATTTACAACTTTTTTAGCATCTTGTTGTATTTATTGCGTTTGATGATTTACATAAATTATTGACGATAAGGATATTCACTCATTGTATTTATTTTTTTCCTCGGCCTTGTGTCCCATTTGGGGAATAAAAATTATAATTTGTCACGTTGATCCTACTTGTAATATTTGTTTATCTGTATAGCCATTAGAACAGTGCCCTTGGACACATGGGATTGTAGTAGCAATTGCATTATTGTTGGGTGTTTGCTCTTTCAATAAAGTCCAATAGGGTATAGTATGTAAGAAGAACATAAGAAACTTAAAGTCCATTTAGCTTAGAGTTAGGGTTTCTTGAAACTCATATATATTATACACTTGTAGTCATCAGCATCTCTAGTCTTCACTTGGCAGTTGCAGAGACTGAGACTGAGGTAAAGTCATTTCCCTGAAAGTAAAATAGTGCTCACACACTTCATATTTTCCCTTGAGACATAGTCTAAAAGATTTGTCACCGTCCAGCTTCAAGGAGGTTCTTCGTGCTGCGGCGCTGAGGTGAGCAGACCATGAAGAAGAATCATACATAGGAAGATTCTGCACAAGATATTTGCACCAAAAGGTAAATCAGTAAAACAATGATGATGCGTTTGCATCCGAAACCGCAATGTCTAAACTCTTTCGCTTATCAAATAATTCCTACAATTGGTATCAAAGTCGAATTACGTGTTTGGATGTGGATCTAGTTTTGATTTACAGTTTTCGTGTAATTAGCTAGCATGTGAAATATGGCACCTAAGTTTCTATGTTTGTTAGTATATATTGGCATGTGTATCCTTTATAATTCTTTTTATAAAAATCAATGCTTCTATTTGGTTTTTGGCTTTAATCCATGGTAGATATTTGGTTGTATTTACTTGAAAAAGGGTATTCTAATATATTATAAAATTGTAAATAATCTGTACAAAGGGTTCTCTATTTATAGAGAATATTTGACCTACTTTTAACCTAACGGGCTTGGCCCAATACAACAATAAATGACTAAATAAAAACTAAATAATAACTAAATCAATATTATTTACAACACTCCCCCTCAAGCTGAGGAATAAATATTTATCATTCCCAGCTTGCTAGTAAGTTCTTGAAATCTGTCTGAAGGAAGCCCCTTTGTTAATAGATCAGCCAATTGACGCCCAGTGGGAATGTATGGAATGGTAATCAACCCGCTATCAAGTTTCTCTTTGATGAAATGGCGGTCAACCTCAATATGTTTAGTCCGATCATGTTGAACTGGATTATGAGCTATACAAATAGCGGACTTATTATCACATAGCAGCTTCATAGGTCCCTCACATTTTATTTTGAGATCATCAAGAACAATTTTCAGCCACAGTAACTCACAAATGCCTTGAGCCATAGCTCGAAATTCAGCTTCTGCACTTGATCTGGCAACCACATCTTGTTTCTTACTTCTCCATGTCACCAAGTTACCGCAAAGAAACATGCAATAACCAGTGGTAGAACGGGTCAGTCACGGATCCAGCATAATCAGCATCTGTGTAGACTTCTAAAGATAGATTGCCATCACGTCGGAATAACAATCCTTTACCAGGAGTACCTTTAAGATACTGAAGAATTCTCTCTACTGCCTGCATGTGTTTTTCTTTTGGATCGTGCATAAACTGACTGACAACACTAACAACATAAGCTAGGTCTGGTCTAGTATGGGCCAGATATATCAATTTCCCAACTAGCCGTTGATATTGTCCTTTATCAACTAGAGGACTCTCTTCTTCATAGCCTATCTTGTGATTCTGCTCAATAGGAGTATTAGAGGGTTTACACCCGAGCTTTCCTGCTTCTTTGAGAAGATCAAGAACATATTTCCTCTGGCTGATAAAAATTCCTTTGCTTGAGTGAGCTACTTCTATCCCTAGGAAATATCTCAGTTTCCCAAGGTCTTTGATTTCAAACTCAGAGGCAAGCCGTGTTTGCAGAATCTGTCTCTCCACAAAATCATCACCTGTGATAATAATATCATCAACATATACAAGGAGCACAGTAAGCTTCCCATTTTGGGAGTGCTTGAAGAAAAGAGTGTGATCTCTTTGGCTCTGTCTGTATCCTAAGGTCATCATAACCTTAGTAAATCTTCCAAACCAAGCACGAGGTGACTGCTTCAATCCATACAAGGCCTTTTTTAATCTACAAACTTTATTTTCCCCCTTCACAGAATCAAAACCAGGCGGGATTTCCATGTAGACTTCTTCTTCTAACTCACCATTGAGGAAAGCATTTTTCACATCAAATTGATTTATATCCCAATTGTAATGGGCAGCAAGGGATAACAAGATTCTCACTGTATTCATCTTTGCAACTGGAGCAAAGGTTTCTTCATAATCAATGCCATAGGTTTGAGTGTAACCTTTGGCCACTAATCGAGCCTTATATCTCTCAAGAGTGCCATCAGAATTATATTTCAGGGTATAAACCCATCTGCACCCTACTGCTTTCTTTCCGTTGGGTCTATCAATAACCTCCCATGTTTTATTTTTCTCCAAAGCATTCATCTCCTCTTGCATGGCTTGAGCCCAATTCCTATCTTTCAAGGCTTCATGTACTGATTTTGGGATTGCAATAGAATCTAGTGCTGAAACAAAGCTTTTGTGCTGCACAGAAAGATTAGCAGAGGAAACAAAGTGGGAGATAGGGTATTGAGTACAAGAGGGACAGGAGGAACAAGTTTTCTTGTGACAAGATATTTTTCCTTTTCTAAGAGCAATAGGTAAGTCATCAGAAGTAGAAGCAATGGGTAAGTCATTAGAGATATCAGAAGAAATAGACAAATCATGAGAGGAAATAATATTAGAATCAGAAACAGGAGATTCAGAAGAAATAGGAGATTCAGGACTTACCAGTGGTTCAGACGATTGAGGTTGCTGGTGAGACAGTATGGGTTGTATCTCAGGTGTATTTGAAGGTTCTGACACACCAGGAGCAGACACACTAGGAAGAGAGAAGATTGATCCAGACTCAAAGAAGGAAGGGGACGAGTCTTCTGAAGAACTATTCTCCCCCTGACGATGAGGACCCAGGAAATAAGATTCAGATTCTTGAAAGGTGACATCCATAGAAACAAAAAATTTCCGACTTGGTGGATGATAACACTTGTACCCTTTTTTATAAGGGTTATAACCAAGGAAGACACACTTAAGAGCCCTAGGATCCAACTTACTCCGATGTTGTTTATGAACATGGATAAAGGCAACACATCCAAACACTCTGGGTGGAAGGCTCTGCAATATGGGAACAGAAGGAAAGAAGGAAGTCATGGAATGAATAGGACTGATATTGTTAAGGACCCGTGAAGGTAAACGGTTGATCAAAAAAGTTGCAGCTAATACTGCTTCTCCCCAATAAGAACTAGGAACAGATGTCTGAAAAAGTAGTGCTCTAGCAACTTCAAGAAGGTGACGATTTTTCCTTTCAGCAACCCCGTTTTGTTGAGGGGTATCAACACATGTGAGCTCATGAATCATACCTTTGTCTGAAATGAATTGTGACAGGCGTTGGTTGACGTACTCAGTACCATTATCAGATCTGAGTCTTTTAATACCCTTACCAAACTGAGTCTCAACCATGTGATGAAACCGAATAAATATCTCTGGTACTTCAGACTTGTCTTTCATCAAGTATATCCATGTTATCCGAGTACAATCGTCAATAAAAGAAACAAACCACCTAGCACCTGAAACACTGTGCACTTTAGAAGGGCCCCAAACATCAGAATGGATAAGAGAAAAAGGTTCTCTGCTTTTAATAGTGCTAGAAGGAAATGACACTCGATGGTGTTTTGCAAATTCACAAACATCACAATGAAAGGTCTCAACCGACTTATTGAGAAACAGAGAGGGGAACATAGACTTCAAAAGACTAAATGGTGGATGCCCGAGACGCTTGTGATGGAGCCAAATCATAGACTCTGCAGTAGAAGGATGTCGTGTCATTAATAACTGATTTTTGCTAGCATGGTCTGGAAGGAGATGATACAACCCATCCTGTTCATTAGCAACTCCAATTGTCTTCTTCGTGGTAAGATCCTGAATAAGACAATGAGAAGGAAAAAATGTGATAGAACAATTCAAATCAGTTGTAAGTTTTTGAGTGGAGATAAGATTAGTAGAAAGCTGAGGAACATAAAGAACATTTTTAAGAAACAAGGAAGGTTGAATTTGAATGTTACCAGAACCAATAACTGATTTATGGGATCCATCAGCTACGGATATAGTATGACTACCAACAGTAGGATGATAAGAACAAAATAACTCAGTACGACAAGCCATATGATCAGTTGCACCAGAATCCAAAATCCATGAGGTTTTAAAATCAGTGCAAGAAGCAAGAAGAGATATAGAACGTGTGCTCTTACCAGATAAGATCGAAGAACTATCATGCTCAGCCATTCTTTAACAAAAAAAGTTAACAACCAGCGATAAAATCAACCAAACAGAATATCAAATGACCTCTGATCAGAAAAATAATTATAGATCCAGACAGAAGACAAGAAGACGAGAAGAATGGTGGTGGTCCGGTCCAAAAACACGGCCGCACGCGCCTCCACGCGCCGGAGAAAGGAGCTGCGCGTGGGATTCACTCGCCGGGAAAGGGGCGGCGCGTGAGAGCGCGTGGATGGACTTCGCCGGCTAAGATTTTTCTGGTGTGGTCGTCCGGTGAGCGCACACCTGTCTGTGGGTGGTCGCGGTTGAAAAGTCGCCGGAAAGTGGTCCAAACGGTGAAGACAGATCTGATTGGAGGCGATCGGAGGTGTTTCGGTCGTTTGTGGCGGAGGAACACTGCGTAGAATGATAGATCGGAGAAAAAATAAGGTCAACAATGGTCCCCTTGGTCCAAAAGGTCCCCGGAAAAATTTTCCGGTGGCGGCTAATGGCGGCAAGAGGCAAAGAAATTAGGGTTTTGTTAAAAAAGAAGATAATATGTGCGGAAGCAAAGCCCTCAGATCGAGAGCTCTGATACCAACTTGAAAAAGGGTATTCTAATATATTATAGAATTGTAAATAATCTGTACAAAGGGTTCTCTATTTATAGAGAATATTTGACCTATTTTTAACCTAACGGGCTTGGCCCAATACAACAAAGGGCTTGGCCCAATACAACAATAAATGACTAAATAAAAACTAAATAATAACTAAATCAATATTATTTACAACATATTTTCTTGGGTTGTAACAAGGAGGCTAATCTCTTATGATTAGGTTTCCTCCTTGATTTTTTATTTTATTTTTTTATATATTTTCGTTGTATTATAAAAATTGTAATGAAAGAAAACCAAGAAGATGCGAAAAAAAGACATTCACGACTATTTTGTACTTGTTCATGATGAATACGACCTTTGATCGAAAAATTGAGACTGCAGAAAGATTCAGAACAAAAAATCAAGTCAAACAAAAGTTGAATCACACAAAACGGAGACCGAACGCTCCTTTACTCTCCACCAGAAATTTGTGCGAGTAGGCTTCACTCTCTGGAGAAGATAGGGCGTGTGAGAGCGCGTGGGAGCACTGTTTGGGGCGATTTCGGTGGCCGTGGCTTCATCTCATCAAGGTCCTATAAAATTTCGTATCAATCGGACGTCATACGGAGGGGCAACAATCGTAACGACTTGAGTTTCCAAGAAAGAGATTAGGATTTCTTGCCAAATTTTGGTATTTTGAGCCTTTAAGGCCACGGTTGTCAAAAAGGCTTGAAATAGAACCCATGGACCAAAAGGAAGGAGGAAATGGGTTGAAAAGTTTTCAGTTCCAATTTTTTTTTTCTTTAAAAAATCATGGATTAAAGTTTAATTTATAATTGCTTTATTTTTATGAATTGATGAGAGAACATGCCATATAGAATAAGTGATGTCATATTGTTGAATAAATTGTTAATTATACGAGCATGGTGTCTGTTATGTTTGTACGACTAGATTAATAGTCATTACTCATTATGGTCATCAACTCATATTTCGAAATTTAAATGTAATAGTTATTACATTTGATAGGCTAAATTAATGGTCATTGAGACATTAATTATAATTTATGAAATATGTGTATAACAAATTTAATAAATTAATGATTGTTATGAAAATTATTTTGATTTCAAATTATCCTCATAAATGATAATTATTATGATTGCTAAGATCTAGATTGATAATTAAGTCAATTAATTGGATGATTTAAATCTATAAAAATAATTAAAAAAATTCCTAAAAGATAATTAAGTCAATTATTTGGATGATTTAAATTTAAAAAAACAATTAAGTCAGTTATTTAGATGATTAATAACAAACTATTCTTTTAGGAATTTTTTTTAATTTTTTTTCTAGATTTAAATCATCTAAATAACTGACATAATTATTAATCTAGATTTCAGGAATCACAATAATTATCATTTATGAGGATAATTTGAAATCAAAATAATTTTTATAACGATCATTAAATTATTAAATTCATTATGCACATATTTCAAAAATTAAAATTAATTTCATAATGATCATTAATTCAGCCTATCAAATAAAATAACTATTACATTTAAATTTTGAAATATGAATTAATTACTATAATAACTATTAATCTAGTTGTACAAACATAACAGTCATCATGCTCATGTAATTAACAATTTATGCAACAATATGACATATGGCATGTTATCTCATTAAGCACGTTATCAATCGTATAATTCATTTATTCATAAAAAAAAAATTTTAATCCATGGTTTTCTAGAGAAAAATAAAATAAAATTACAAATTGGAAATGAAAACTCTTCAGCCCATTTCCTCCTTCCTTCTGGTCCATAGGTTCTATTTCAAGCTTTTTTGACAACCATAGGCTTAGAGGTGGCCAGAAAACCTAACCTCTTTCTTGAAAACTCTAGCTGTCATGACTGTTGCACCTCCATATGACGTCCGATTGATACGAAATTTTACAGGCAGGACCACCTCGATGAGACGAAGCCACGACCACGGAATCGACCCCAAATGGAGCTGGCACGTGCTCCTACACGCCCTATATTCCCCATAGAGTGAAGCCCACTTGCAGAGACTTTCGGTGGAGAGTGAAGGAGAGTCTAACCTCTGTTTTGCGCGATTCAACTTTCATTTGACTCGATTTTTCGTTCTAAACTTTTCTACAGTCTTGAATTTTGGATCGGAGGTCGTATTCATTACGAAGAAGTACAAAATAACCGTGAATGTCGTTTTTTTTACATATTATTCGTCTTCTTTCATTATAATTTTGTAATACAACGAAAATATATAAAATATTGAAATACAAAATCAAGGAGGAAACCTAATCATAAGGGATTAGCCTCCTGGTTACGACTAAAGAAAATACAACCAAATCTCTACCATGGATTAAAGCCAAAAATCAAATAAAAAGCATTGATTTTTATAAAAGGAGTTATAAAGGATACACATACCAATATATAATAAGAGATATAGAAAATCTAGGTGCCATATTTTACAATGCTAACTAGTTACTTGAAAATTGTAAATCAAAACTAGATCCACATCCAAACACGCAATCCAGGCTCTGATACCAATTGTAGGAGCAATTGCATATGCGGATGCATTTTAAACCATCGTGGTTTGGATGTAAAAGATCATCATTGTTTTACAATTATCTTTTGGTGCGCAGATCTCGCGCATAATCTTTCCATGTATGATTCCTCTTCACAAATTCTTCACCTCAGCGTCGCAGCACGAACAACCACCTTGAAGCTGGACAGTGGCAGTTCTTCATACTATGTCTCGAGGGGAAATGAGAAGTGTGTGGGCACTCACTCACTTTCAGGTAAATGACCCACCAAGTAAAGACTAGAGAGGCTGATGACTATAAGTGTAGAATATATATGGGTTCCAAGAAACCATAGCCCTAAGTTGAATGGACTTTAGGTTTCTTTGTGCTCTTCTTACACACTAGACCCTATTGGGCTTTAGTGAAAGAGAAAAATCCAACAGGTAGATTATTCGCAATATGCCTTTCAAGTGTCAATGACTAATTATTTTAAAAGCCTATAACTATTACATGAATCATAAATGCAAATAATTGGTTTTTCATTTATAACCCATTCTTTATGGCAAAAACTATTTTTCAATCTTGAAAGCAGACAATGAAGCCGTAATAATATAAATATGAATGATGCAATCAATGAAGTTATGATCACATGTCAAATTAAGAAGATCAACTATCCCATAAGCAACCTCACAGATCACATCAATCAAGAAAATGAAGAATACACACTATATATCATACAGTATTCTGAACATACATAATGTGTCATGGAAAAATATACATAGAAATCCATGTGAGCGTCTAAATAAAGAAACAGTAGTACCTATAACTACACACTGCAGATATTTATATCGAGTTTAGTAGCTAATGCTACAAAAACTGGTTTATTCAAGGACATGACTAGTGAATTTTTCGCACAAAATCTACTTGGGAACCCAAACAACGTGATCCTCAGGAAGGAAGTGGCAAACAGGAACGGTTCCTGGCTTAACTTTGAGCACTTTAAAGGCCAAATGCTTGGGATTCCATTCTGATGTGTCTGTATGGCATACTGCTACTGCTTTAACTCTGATTCCATTAACACCCTCCAAAGGAACATAGTAAGCTCTGGTTGTTTCTGTTTTGTGACAGTAAAAGACAGCATATGGATAATTCTGCTTATGACACACAACAACATTGTCCCCTGCTAACTTTTTTACTCCTTGGGTTATAGTGTATTTTTGCAACCTTGTTCTTTCTTTATCAGCTACTTCTGTAGACACTACCTCAACATTTTTTCCAAGCTTTGAAGTGCTAAAATCAACCATAGATTCCAGTGAAGTTGCACAATACTTTTCCTCTCCTTTAATCCCCTTATCTTCACACTCATTGATGGTATTTTTCACAATCCCAGCCTCCTCAGACTCTGGTTTGAGAGAAAACCTGTTAAGTATATCTTTCACCTTGTTTGACGAAAAGGGTATTGAATTCGCAACTTGGCGAGGCAAGAATGTGGCAACGTTGGAGCTCCTAGTGAAGTGCAAGTCCAATTTTGTTCCAGGATGCAAGTCTTTTTCTAAGAAGAAGAGTGCCACGTTAGGGTTATCATGTAATTGGGTCTTAGTCGCAGCATACTCGTATAGAAATGGTGATTTATCTGGCCCAACTACAACATGTACGGGCTTTCCCTTATGCCCTGCACTCACTGAAACTCCTCCACCTTTTCCACCAATGTTGACATCGGTACCACTTCCTTTACCTGCATGCACATTTACGCTTCCTTTTCCAACATTCACTGAGGTGGCTCCGGGCTTTCCTTTCCCTGCATCAACACTTACACCACCCTTCCCTACACCTACATTGGTGCTTTTGTCTCCTACCAAATCTGCAAAATTATATAATTAACTAGCTGATTGTTAGTTGATAGAGGCCAACTATAGCTACTATTACCATAAGATGTGTATACTTTTCAGAGCTAACGATGTGCAATAAATGGTTCCATAGTTTATGATTAAAAATAGCTTAGTTCAGTATTTTGACCAAAAACTAAACCCTGTTTTAGGCCCATATGTAAAAGAACAAAACAAATGGTAAAATCACATATTTTATTCAAATTTAAAATTAAAATATAACAAACATAAACATAATGTTTTAATTTTTTTTGTGACAAAATATAAAAATTAACAATTATTTTGGGTGCATGATCCTAAATAATGCAATTCGCTCACACCCTTACTTCTGAAAAGCGTACCACCTTTTAAATTTTCACGTTAACAAGGCCCAATTTGTAATGGGTGGGTTCGTCTATTCATAAGAAGGCGTACTGCAATACTTACAAATGGCCCAGCCAATTTAAGTTGGATCCAATTATAATATTGGGCATCCCATCTTTGTCATTCTTACACCTCGTGCATGAATTCAAGCCAACCGTTCAGTACAAATGCAGTAAAACAGTGTGTGTGTGTGTGTGTGACAGCTGTGCATGAATTCAAGCCAACCTTTCGGTAAAATTGTAAAAATGCAGTAAAACAGTGTGTGTGTGACTATAGTTTAAAGTATTAAAATCGGGTGTATATAATGTTTTATAAATTTTAGGTTAACTTATTCATCCATTTTTTATACTTTAACTCAAAATTCAATTTTGCTCTGCAGTTTAAAGTCATCCAAAAAGTTCTTATAATATTTAAGTAATGCAAAATATTTCATATTAATTACATTTGTGTTCTACTTAGAATAAAATTATAGGGACCTAATAAATACCATTTTACTTCTTAAAAAATTATCGGAACATTTTTAAAGGGTTGTGAACTGTTAGGATTAAATTGAATTTAAACTGAAACTTCAAGTATTAAATGTGTAATTTAACCAAAATTTGAACCGAATGAGAAAAGAAATTCTATTGATAAGTTACACCCACAGAAAAAAGGGTTTGTTGATTCCAATCATATGCATATCGAAAGGTTATCATGCTTAAATGAAAACTTCAAATACGAAGCATTAAATAAAAAATAAAATATTTAATATACTGATAACATAAAAAGTATTTATTAAATTTTTTATTTATTAAAAATATTTAATATGAAATATTAATACTATTCAATTAGCGCCTCGTTACTTGTTAACCGAAACCTTTTTTTAATGTATATTTTAACGCAGCATATGAAGTTTGAAATTGAGTCCTCTGTAAATATATACAGGATGTGCAAATTTGAGGCTCTGAGATAGCAAAGATGCAATGTTTTTCTTCCTTAAAAAAAAAAAAAAAACTGATTTCTATGTTAGTTAAGTTCTTTTAAAATTTTTGCAATACAAACAGGTTTGGCTGGTAAGATATGGAAGTGAATACAGTTACATACTAATTAGAAATTGATAGATTATCTACACACACAAAAAAGAAAAGAAAAGAAAGTTGATGGATTTGTGAAACATACAATATGAATGCAATTGTTTGAACCTTATAATATATATCACTTGCTTTTTCCAATTTCTCCCCTGAACTCTTTCAGGATTAGAGGTGAGTTTAGGTCCAATGGTCCATTAGCGACATACGCTCTGATGTACTTAAATCTTGGTCTTGCCTATTGATTCCGCTAATATACTAATATATTTAAAAGTCTTAGTATGCCTTTAATGTTTGAATAAACTAAAGTTATTATGATTATTCTCCTGATGAGGGGATTGAAATAATTTGCATAAGTTTATAAGTTCGAATATCAGTACTTCCATTGTATAGGGAAATTTTTTTCTAAATAAACTTTCGGAATATTTTAAGTTTTTAAAAAGATCATGTGAGACCTAAAGCCTTTTAAACAGATTTTCAGTAAAGTTTAAGCATTAAAAACAGTACTCTTTTTCCCGTATTATAGTTTTAGATTCTCGACTGGTAATAATTTACAATTGAACTTGAACTTAATTACAACGTGTACTGACCCAGATGAAGGATATCAGTGATAGCTTTTGGCATGGGCGTGGTAGGAAGCACGGACTTCCAGTAAAATTCAGGAGGCAAGGCAGCATGGGTTGCCACCACCGCAAGCTGCAAATTAAATTAAATACAAAACCTCGTTAGCATCAATTCTAACAAACATCGAATATGTATGAGTGCGCATTAATTTAACTATACTAATATTAAGGGTAAATTGTTAAATATTTATCCGTTATTTGTCATAAAAATTAATAAATATATCACTACCTATCAAAATGAAATTCCCATGACCTTTATAGGTATTCTAACAATTCCCTATTCCAAATAAAAGTAAAGGAAGAAATCGTGCTTTCGTAATATTTGAAGAAAAAAGAAACCACAACTTGAAGAAAAGTAATAATAAAAAGCACGTTTCAGTTGCTCGGAAGTTGAAGCTCACATTGAGTAAAGTGAAAATGGATAGGAGAGGATACTCCATACTGGAAAGCAAAGCTGCAACCTTAATCTTGTCGATGATAAGGGGAGAAATTTATAGGAACTAAACGCGAGGCAGGGTAATTTATAATGATATCAAAGTTGCCTCGCAGCATATTTATATGCCCAAGATATAGTTATAATTATTAGAAAATGGTTTCTAGAATCGGTTGCTTGAAAATAAACTTACCACCAATATTATCATGCATTTTAAATACTTCAACTGCCTCGGTTCCACTGACTTTAATCACCCTTATTGTCTTTGTGTAAGTAGGACCGTAGAGATAGAGATGGACATTGAGAGGGAGAATTTGTTCTCTATGTCTTTTTTATAGGTATTTAATGAAAGTATGAAATATTGAAAGGGAGAATTCGTTCTAAGGCATGCCGGTGGTTGAGAAGATGAGAGAACATAAATTGAGGTGATTTGGGCACGTAATGAGAAGGCCTCTGTATGCTCCCGTAAGAACATAAGTTTGTTACCAAGCGCTCAACACAAAAAAAGTAGAGGTAGACCGAAACTTATTTGGGGGAAGGTAGTAAAACAAGATTTAATGGAGTAAGATATGGATTGGTGGACGGTATGCCTTAGAACGGAATGGAGAAAATCTATAAACAATGGTGGAGGGTTAGACCCGTTGTTATTACTATGTTCCAGATGGTCTATTTTTAGTCCTTTTACCCTTTATTTCCCTTACTCCTTCTTTTCCCTCTTTTTTTTAACTTATATATATATAGATATATACGGAAAAGTGTTTGTTATTTTAAATGACAGAAAGTTATGTCATTTTAAGAGAGATACAGACACATAAAATTTGAATTTTAATTAAAAAAACCACCTACTTTCTCTCTCCCATGATTTCCGTTTTTCTGTGTCTATCTCTCTCCTAAAATGACATAATTTATGTCATTTAAAATGACAAATACCAAACTCATATATATATTTACTATTCTATTTATTTATTTTTATTTTTACTTTTCTTTTTCTTTTTTCAATCTTTTTGTATCTTTTATTTGAGTTCATCTACCACCGACCTCAATTAATTTGGGATAAAGGTGTGGTTGATAATTGATATTAATGTTGATGTTGTTAATGAAAGTACTTAAAATATTCATCACTTCAAATATTTTTCCGTTTTAAACTGATTAACACTTTAAAAGTTTTAATTTCTTTTAAATTATTAATCACTTTAGAAAATCAAGAAAATATTAATTGTTGTTGTTTTATCTTTATCTTTTAACATCTCCATTAAGTGAAATAACAGAGCATTAAAGATAATATAACTTATTTTTCTTAAAATCAAAAGTATTTGTTCATCTTCTTAATCATTGTATAAAACCCTCAAGGATAATTATTTTTAAAAGGATTGAATAATTAAAGTAATTTAATGAAAAATATTAAATATTTACTAACTAGTGTCCGGAAGACTTAAATTTGTTACATATACTCCTAAAACGTCAAGTAAGTTTGTGCGCACTCCTTTTGGATCTTAACATTTTAATTAATGATCACAAGACTAATTACTCACTTATATATTTATTTATTTTTAGTTTTTAGAATAAAAAATAAGGCTGAATTATTAAATATGCAAGTGAATGATGAATCTTAATATTAATTAAGGATAAAATATCAAAACGTAAATAATGATCTCAGATGAAGCTCCACAAACATGCAATACTTTATCCAAAAAAATATTTTTTCATGTTGCATAAAAATTTAATTCTCATGTTATGATCTTTCGATTTAAGTGTAATTTTTTTATTTTTTTCTCTTTTTAGTAAATGTGAAGCTCACCGTTAATTTAAGTTACAACATGATTATTCATTCTCATATCAAACCCCTACTTTATCCTTGGAAACACTCGTTATCAAAGAATTGGCAAATGACAAGGTGTCGATTGGTCGGAGATATATGAGTGATCCTTGCTTAACTATCAATACGCTCAAATTCATCTGATTTGATGCTATACTCGCAATTATTGAAGCATGGTTTAAATTGTGTTGACTTTATACGATGTTAAGATGGATTAGATAACAGACAACTACTTAAAATTTATTAGAGGCGCACTGTTGTATCGTAACTTATGGGCACATCACGGTTTTCTTCGTTCACACTGTACTTCTTTTTACCAAGAAAAGCAGTGACAGTAGATTTTTGATTTATGTTTATCTTATTTTATATGAGATAAATAATTCTTTTACACACATAAAAAGGAGTTGGATCTCACCACTCTTTTTTCTCTCTCCTCTTATCTATGGGTTCCACTTATACTTTTATTTCTACAACATGAGGTAATATTTTTTTTACAACATAAGAAAAATATATCCCTAGTTGGGTTTATATTTTCTTATTTACATAAGAAAACATATCTCCAACCATAGATACAATTTTCAATGTGGAATCCATTTGTAATTAAAAAAATAAAATAAAAAGCTGAATTTGAAACTATTTATGTGTCTGTAGAAAAAATTGTTCTTTTATGTAACATAAGAAAACATAAACCCATCTTCTAATTAAAATAACAAGTTACTTTTTAAAAGTTGTTTAATTAAGATAATAATTTGGAAAAAATGCTAAATATTACAAATGTATTTTCGGAAAATAACTTGTAGAATAAGAAAATAAAAAAGGTTGATTTATTGTGTTTACTTAATTATCTTTTTACTCTTCAATGTTATTGTTTTCTCTTTCTCTAACAAATATTGATTAAGCATTTACAACTTCCGTAAATGTTATACAAAATAACATCATTATTGGAACATACACGTCACACGATATACTTCTCAATTTAGATATATTAGCCAATTCAACCTAATTATGACTTCTTTAGATTTTGCCCCATTTCGGCTTATTTGTGGCCAAATCTTTATTCATTGATTTTTTTTTTTACCAAGGTGTGAGTTCCAATTAAGCTTTGAACCTTAGCTATAGAAGTAAAAATCTCTAGGCAAAGAGGGTGAGGTAACGTACACTGCTTATCCTTCCAATAAGGTCAAGTTTAGGTAAACATGGACTGATGGACGTGGCTATTAGTGAAACCAATAACTTGATACGGTAATATATTTGAAAATGGCTATTCAACCACCTACTAATTAATTGGTATATATATATGAGATCCCTTCTTGTTGGTATGAACAAAAAATTTCCTCTTTCTTTCTCCATGTTCATAAATGGCACAAATATACTAATAGATGACTAAGACACTTCGTCGTTTGTTGGCAACTTTGATCTCTACCTTCCAGTGCACTCATTTACCTGTCTTCGTTGAAAAAAGGTCATGGCAAATATAATTTTGGGGAAACATTTTCGTAATACTAAATTTGAAGCGTTTACGCATGCATACTTCAACTTCATAATTTTATACTAACTATTATTGAGGCAGATTTTTTGACGAAATTTAATTTATTTTTCGTCGAAATTTATCTTCTGTAAAAAATTATTATAATATTTTTTAACGAAATTTTATTCATTTTCTGTCGTAAAATTTAGATGAAATTATTTTTCCGTTGAAAATTTTTAAAACATTTTCAACGAAATTTCAAAGATTTTCTGTTATAAAATTTTGATGGAATATATTTTTTGTCGAAACTTTCCACGGAAATTATTCCGTCGAAAGTTTTTTACGAAAATTATTTTCACAAAAAAATTTCGACCGAAATTATTTCTGTTAAATTTTTTTGACGGAATATCTAATTCCATCGAAAAAATTGTTATCAATGAAGAAATATTCAGCGGTTTCAAAACCGTCAAAAATGTAATTTTTGACAAAATTATAATTATTTTTCGCGGAATTTTTTCATCAAAAAAATGATTTTTTAGTAGTGTATTAGTCTCCCATTTCCATGCTAAGCACTTTCCCTACTCTTGGTTTTGACGAAGAACTAGTTCACCGGGCATGTTTAGTGTACCCGATAGGATAAGGCTTAATAAGATACGATTTAATAGTATAAAATTTGATTAAATTTTAATATTATTTCTTGTTTGACATGATATTGTATAAAATAATATGTTATATAAAATAATATTATTCGGTGTTTGGTAATGTATTATATAATACTAAATATGATAAAAATAAATATTTTTGATAAAAATACCTTTTAATAAAAAATATATATAATTCTTCCAAATATATCATATGATATTAATTTTTATGAAAATTTATCTAGGATAAAACGACTTTTCATTTTGAACGTAAAAGCCATGTGTTTGATATAGAAAATAGTACATAAAAATATTATATCATCTCAATGCATGGTGAATATTCTAATTTATTACATAGAGACACATTATATTATAATTAATAATTTTAAACTCTTCTAATTATTTCCTTTTATAATTTTCTTAATTATTAAATAAAAATATTTAAGTAACAAATTGTGATTCAACCTAACATTGCAGGTTATTGAAAGCGGGAGAGAGAAAAACGAAAACCCATTCACACTTTCTTTCTTGATTCGTTATCGGGAAAACAAGACGGGAAATATTATTTTTATGCAATATAAGACAATATTTTTTTTCACCTATTTTTTGTATAGTTTAATTTTTTTTTTTTTTATAAATAAGGGGAGACCACCGTGATTATATCTATAATAGAAAAGAATTATTTTATTACATGAGATTAATAAAGACAAAATAAGGAACAAGTTGCCAATACCACAATTTCTTCTCTCCAAGAACTACTCAGACAACACGCGCGAGAACATTCCCATCGACGATTTCCGTCAATACAGCCGAAGCTCCACATATCACAAGGACGATTTCTTCAGCTACGGTTTCTTCAGCAACCTCGTCGACCAGAGCTTCCACAACTACGCCGCCGGATCCACGGCCTTCACTTCTTGTCCCCAGACCTTTTTTTATGAAGAAAAGGAGAAGAAGAAAAAGCAAAAAAATAAAAAATAAAAAGATTACAGTAGGGAAGAGGAAGATGATAAAGGATAAACCTAATATATCAATTTTTTATCAGATTTAATCCCACATTTCTAGTCTGATTATATAATATATCATTTTGATATATTAAAGAATTCTCTTATATAAATTATACTATATAATAAGGATAATGTTTTTCTCCTTTCACATGACATAACCAATTTTTCTACAGACACATAAAAGTGGATCCATCAATTCTTTTATTTTA